GCTAGTACTTCCTTAAATTCCTTAAATTACTAAGGTAACTTAAAGAGAGTCTGTGACGCTCATGTCTCAAATATTGAGCCCTGTCACTTTACTGATTAGAATGGAGAAAAAAATAAATTAAAAAACACAATTTCCATATGACGGTACATGTCTATTTACTCTGGTATGATACAAATGAATTGGCCCTTGTGCAGGAGAGAATTTGGTCTGCTCTTGATGTGCATTTCTGATCAGCTTTCCACTTCTTGTGTTTATTCTTCTGCAATTTTGCAGAAGACTGAATGACTTTGGACTCTTCCTAATCAAGCCCTGCCTTTAAGGCAACTCTCAAGCAGAAACAGAACAAAATGAAACACAATAAGGAGGAAATCATCTGTAGAAGCAGATGGAGAACTGTCATCCACAGCGAGCTGTACTGTCAAGGGAAAATAGCTTCAGAAGTTCTCGCTGTTGATTAACTCTACTTCCACAAGAAGTCGGTGTTGGGCACTTTTGAGCTGTGACAATATACTGCAACCTGTCAAAATGCAACCTGCTTATAATGGTGTATAAAAGGAAGGAAACTCAAGAGGAAAGGCTATGTAAGAAGAAGGATGGGTCTCCAGGTCTTCTCCAGGGTACTTAAAGCCATTGCCTTCTGGGAATTGTGGCTTTATTTCTGTGATCTTTATGTTGGTAGTATAACAAGTCTGGAGGGAAAAGACTCAAAGTGGTCAGAACTTGCAAGTTTTATTCTCTTTCCTTGGTGTGAGAATCGTCTATTATTCTATTCTGACCCTAAGTGTTACATTTTAGTGTTCACAGAAGGTAGAACACAAGTCATCTAAAATGATATTGTCCGTTTGTCAAAGGTGAGGCTGTCTGCTCCTCTAGGAGCAGGAGAATTACAGATAGACCCCCTCCATTCTCAGACTGAGCATTAAAAGGCTCAGGTGATCCTTGTGGAGGTGCCTTAAAAAGTCATAAAAGAGGCAGGCTTCTGCAGTAAAGCATAAGAGGACCATAAGACTGACCTTCCATTTCAGTTGAGAACAAGGAGGAGGACTTTGAGAACAGCCTGATAGAAATTATCCTTGGTTTCCTTGTTGCACCTGAATTTCCGTGGTCGAAAAGTAAAACTTGAGCATGATGGTAAATTCCCTGAGAATCTTGAGAGACGCAACATGGAATACACGGAGGCAACACTAATTATTTCTAGGCCAAATTAGGTGTGCTATACCGTGCTACTCCCTTTGTCAGGTTTTGTCTGTGTTTGAAGCCTTGCAATAAAAGGCAAGGAAACTAGTAAGTAATTAAACTACAAATTAAAATATATGTGTATATTCAGGCATCTATAGCTGAGTAATTTTATACAAGTCTTCCCAGTATAATCAGAAATTAATTATATGAGATTTTTGCAGCAGTAGTAATTGAGAACGTGGACAGAGGGATAGTTAACAGCAGCAGTATTTAGGTCAGGACAGAACTGAGCTGATATAAATTGCACATAAAAATGATTTGGGTCTGGACCCCTTACATATTTGGCAATACAAATAATGGTGTTTGAAAAATACCATTAAAGTCTGTGGGTTTGTTCAAGAATTTTTCAGAGTTTTGGATCTTTAGGTTTTTTGGCCTTTTTTTTTTTTTTTTGACTGGGATTTTGGGATTTTGGCTTAACCGCTTCTACCAAAGAAAAGAAACAGATTAGCAGATTCAGGTTTAAAAACGAATCTCAATTAAATAATGTCTATGGATATCTCCTAGGAGGAAGGCATCTGCTGCTTTACACCTCTTCTCTTCTGTATCAGCTGTTATTAGGTCTTATTAAACATATATCTGCATCGTCACCAGGTCTCTGAGCTCATTGCTAACTTGCTTTGTAAGCATCCTAGAGGAGCAAGGCTTCGAAAAAATTAACTTGACAGGTATTTATGAGGAACCCCTCCCAAATGTGAGAGTCAGCATGAGGAAAACTATGAATACACGACTTCAGAAAATCCAGTGAGTGAGTGATGCCTCAGCTGCTGTGGCGGCCCGAACAAAGGCATACCTTTTAATGGGTAAACAAAATGACTGGGAGAGAGGGACATGCCAAGAAAACCTTGGAAGGTGTAGATGATTAACCCGATTTTATGGGATGGGGGTGAGGGTGGGAAGCTAACCTTTGCAGAGTCAGGAAACAGAGTGTTAGTAGACAGGAATTAATTGGAACTTATAACCAGAATGAATTTTTAATATAACGGCGCAGTCATGAACCTCCATGGTAAAAATGAGGAGGCAAAGCATGAGGGAAATGACAGAACTCTCTATATCAGCATAGCTGCTCAGAACTGAATACAAAGGTTTCTAAGTACAGTTTTCCTATTACACTATATCTCACCCCATGTCTGTTAAGAGGCTAGTTTCCCATGTGTGATGGAGCCATGTTTTGAGCCATGTTAACCATGACCTGAAGTGACCACATGTAAAGAGAAAAGATTTTTTTCTATATAAATGATGCAGACATTTCAAGAACCACAAGGAAACTAAAATGTGGAATTGCACTTAAATTTTGCAGCTAACTTTCTGGTGTAAGAAAGCCTTGCAGGGATATACCTAACTGCTGAGCAAGCTCCTGCGTGACAGCTTGTATATCCTGTTGATCAAGTCCAGGACTGCAGCCAGAATAATTGCTTGCAATTTTGGGGATACAAAAGTGCCTGTAAGGAGGGCTGGCCTGCTCTTTTAAAAGGTTATTCCTAAGGGGCAGAATCGGAATGGTCTTGAAGTTCTAGCAGATGCACATTTATGGATAAATGTCAAGGACTAGCACTGATTCTCCTGCAGTTTTGCCGCATCACTGCTTACTGTGGGCATTGCTGTATTTTTCACTCTAAAACGTTAATGGAAAAGAGTACAGTAGGAGGACGAGTGCACTGAAGATGTGAAACCTTCTCAAAAATTATTTCCTGTGAGGAATTTGAATGAACGTTACGTGAATAATTGTACCAGCTAAGCACATCCCACAAAACAGGAAAGCTTTTATAGTTTTTAAAGCTCTTCATGCAAGCTCTTTTATTATATCTGTTTGTGTTGCCCTTCCTAACTCAAAGTTGCATCCAGATACCACCTTGCCATCTTGCTCTTCCTTTGTCCCCATCAGGAATCATAGGTTAATGCATATTAAAAAAAAAAAATCTTTTTGGATTTAAGAAAAAAAATAAGAATTTCCTTATTTCTGTCTAGTTCTTTTTTTCTTAAAGTATTGATTATTCTAATAAACTTTTTAAAAAACTTGCTCATGTTTTTAACGATGTTCTAAGGCTCTTACTCCAAGATTACTGATATGTGTATAGGCATGCATTACACCATTCTTAATGTCATATATAATAGGTGACCATCTGGGTGACCCTGCTTGAGGGTTAGACTAGATGATCTCTAGAGGTCCCTTCCAACCTCAACTGTTCTGTGATTTGATCATTCTGTAATACTGTGCCATATAGGAAAACTTACGGGAAAGTACTCTTGAAGTATTTTTAGCGTGCAAGTTAGTGTTGACTGAGCCATATAATTAGTCAGGTTTTAAAATATTGGGAAAATAAGCTGAGCCTGAGATGATTCTAAAGATGAAAGGGAGATTAAATCATAAATTTATAATGCTAGCCTGAAGAAGTGTATTAACTCTACAGAAAAATATATACAGAGTGTTTCAGTGTTAAAATGTTTTTCATATTACAACTCATCTAGAAGTATTAAGATTGTGTAGTCGTAAATCCTTCTCCTTGGATTATATATTAGTCCCCTCTTTTAAATTTATACACAATTATATGCTGATAGCAGAGCCACAGATTGCTTGGACATCTCTACAGTAGTGAGAACTGCATCATTTGTGAATGTAGAATCTTGATAACAGCATTTGAAATTAGACATATTGCATACAGGCAACATGCAGGCTCCCCCACACAAAATGCATCACATGCCTGACATATCAATTCAAATAAAGGTTAAAAAGTAATCAAAAGTTCTCAAAGAGATTTGCTAAAATAAAAAGAGATGCTGCCTTTTTTTTTTTTAGCAATTTTCTCTCTATGATTGAAGCAGATACTTGTCTACAGCTGACAGTGCAATAAGCTGAAATGTTGAATAACGGAAAAGAAAATATTGCAGTGAACCTAATTCATCCACAGCAATGGACATATTCTTCACTCAACAGCAATAGCTTTATACTGAAGTGATAAGGCTCAATATGTAATTTCAAAATATTTTGTAATGAGAGAAACTAAAAGAATACAGTATTGCATTAATTTTATTATTGTTTTCAAAAGCTTTAGTAACTAATATATATTTCCAAAAATAGGTAAGAACTGCTGGTTAGAATTATGTGTGAGGAATGGCAACTGAATTTACCATTTTATTTATATATATAAATGGAAAGGCAGTCTCTGTCATAGCGTTGTCACAAGTAGTATTAATAATAAATAAGATTATTGAATAGACCCCCCTATAATGAATCTTCCAAACAATTAATTCTAACAAAGAAGTAAGGTAGAAGAAAACTTGCATGCAATGATCATTTAATTAATAATGCTCACTTTTCGACAGATAAGTAAGTGGTATGCTGAAATTCTTCAGAGTTATTCACTGCTTTTTGTTTATAAATTAGTTTTTTTTTTCTATGCTTTTAGAAGCTCTGAAGTGGTTTTAGCCTCTAGGTCTCATTGACTTGAATAAATTCATGTTGCAGTTCATATGGCTAATTTATGCAACGCTTTGAAAACAATTAAATTTAGGTCAAATCCTATTTCTATAGGAGCATCCATTAACTCCGCCATTAACTCTGGGAGTTCTTTGTGTTTGCAGCCTGTGTTCTTTTAGCTGACAGCATTTTTTCTGGCTGAGTCGCACACCTGCAAGTATGGTGTTGCCAAATAAAATGCTTTCCTGGACAGGCAAGGGTACTTTGCTCCCGAACGTCTGCTGAAGTCTGGAGAAATCTAGCATCTGGTGACACATTTTCTATTGATTCTTTTTTTTTTCAGGGGAATTCTGGCCTGGGGTTCAGTATTGCTGGAGGAACAGATAACCCACACATTGGGGATGATCCTGGGATTTTTATTACTAAGATTATACCTGGAGGAGCTGCAGCAGAGGATGGAAGACTCAGGTAAAGACTAACTTATTATGTATGCTTGGAAATGAAAAGTGCCTTTATTTAAACTTCTTTGTACCTGCATGTGAACTGAGTCTTTCACACGGAGGGCGAAAGTAAATGACAGGACATCTCCTTTCTGCTGAAGTAGGAGAATGGATTTAAGTAGGTGAAAGCAATTAAGTTAGAGTTAGTTAAGCAATCAAACACGGTGCCTCTATGAAGAGGCAATCGCTGGCCACCTCCATCTTTCTACCAGCCATTTCATTTAGTGCAAGAGGCAAGATGGGGACCTAATGATGAAATAGGTACAGCAGCATGAATGTCTTCTGTGCTCAATCATTGTAGGTTCATGGCTAAGAGACTGTGCCTGGAGCTACACAGGGCTACCTAGACTGTCCAGCTTACAGAGCTATCCCTAAATAAGCACAGCTCGTCATGTCCCCAGGTTTTGTAGACCCTCCTGCTTGGTTTGGACAGCAGGAGCAAGGTGTGCTCTCTGCCCTTTCCAGCTGGCTTCTTTCCCTCAGTGAACATTTGACTGCTGTGCTCTATATCTTGAGAATGGTCTTGAAAATTGCTGTAGCTCAGAGTATCACTCATAAGCTGTAATTCTCGAGTACCTGATAACATATCTCACGCAAGAAGTAACAGGGCTTCCCTTTGGAAGGGGACTAAATTCAGGAAGGTTTCTGTCTACCATGGAAACTGCCACCCATCTGTCTGTTGTAAAGACTTCTGATCCTCACAAAAAATAAAATAAATAAAGTAAAATAAAAAAGGCTCAGAAAACTTGAGCTAAAATTCTGAAGCTTTCATGATCTCAGCACTGGAATTTGAGCTCTTTGCCAAATACAGATGGTCTAAAAATCATGAAATGTGACCAGATGGTAACAGGAATATTTTTGGCAAAACTTTGTCCCTTAACTCAAAGTTAAAACTATGGGGATTTTGCCAATTTTGGGAGCATGTTTAGGATATTTCTTATATTCATTTAGCGATTGAGGAGGATTTTTTTTTTTTTTTGGAAATGACTGTCCTTTTAACTGTGGTTGTGAAGAAGAGTAATGGTAGATGCCAGTGATTGAAAAAAATTTGGTCTAAATGTTATTATAGACAAAGGGAATGGGAATCATCTCATGTACCTTTATGACTAAAATTTGGATATCTACCTCTAAGCTAGTCATCTTAGGGTCCCCTTACAGACAGTGAAGAAAAACAGGCATTTCTAGATCATGATTCATGTAACTGTAAGGTCTAAATTAGGAGAGAAGAATCACATCCTAAAATTTTCCTTTTTGACGTATTTCTGTTACATCATTATAGAACGTTTTTTTTTTTTTTAGTATTTTATAGCAAAGAGGCAGAAATCACCCAAAAGATCTCACTTGCAGTTTCAGTAGTGAAAAAGTCTGTGTACTCCAACCTTGTAAGGTTTAGGATGGCAAAATTTTATTTTATTTCACAATATTTTACCTGTTGAAGATTTCCCTTTCCTTCTTTTCACTGCTAAGAATTCTTCTTTGCTACAGTGCTAGCAACGCAACAGATCCTGTCATGTTTGGGGAACGCCCAGGAACATGTTTATCACTGATCTTTACTGATAGGCTACTGAGGGGAAGAGCTATCCTGGGGCACTCTCCCTGGCTTACATGATAATTAGTTTTACATAACAATGTGTTTATCAACCCAGGCCACTTCTCTACAAACAAAATCTCAACAGCAGGCAGTAATGTCCAATAAGAATGGCTACAACCCAGGTCCCTAGCAGAAGCCCCATTTCAAATTCATTGGGAGTAGGAAATAGGTCTTTACGGACAGGAAAAATATACAGTGTCCATATATTTGGTGTCCATTTTTATCTCAGACTCTGCCTATGGCTACTTTATATTAAATAGTAATGTGGACTGTCAACTGCATTCTAAATCTATGATGTGCTCTTAAATCAGAAAAGGATGTAAAATCACTTTTACTGTATTTTATGTGAAGTACCTTTGATCTAGCTGAGCTAAGTAAAGTGTCTCAAACTAGGATAGTGAAAATGATCTGCAAGAATAGACTTAATGCTGCAAACTCTTGTGAGTCTTGTGTGTGGGCTGACAAATAAAGCAGTGGGTCAACAGGAGCTTCATAAAAGTCCAACAGAAACAAATGTCCTGCACCTGGGATGGAGTAGCCCTCCAAGATAGTTCAGGCTGGGCACTTGCCTAGCTGGAAAGCAGCATTGCACATAGAATCATAGAATCATAGAGTCATTAAAGTTGGAAGAGACCTTTGGAGATCATCTAGTCCAACCCCCCTGTACATGCATGAGAACAGCTTGCACATGAGTCAGCAGCCTCCCTTGCAGCAATGATGGGCAGCACATGGAGGTCTGCATCAGTAGGAACACAGGCAGCAGGGCAGCAAGAAAAGAGATTTCTCCCCTCTATACAGCACTAATAAGTCCATGCCTAGAACAGTGAGTCAATTTTGGGGTTCCCCAGTGCCACAGGGAGATTTACAGAGCGAGGAAAGCCCAGTGGAGGGCATGATTCATGAGGAGATGCTGGTTTGTTCAGCCTGGAGAAAAGATTGTTGGGGGACATCTAACTGCAGTCTCCACAACCTCCTAGGAGAGACAGAGCTCAGCTCTCTTCAGACAAACACTGAGAAAGGACTAGAGGTAACTGGAGGTTTCAACAAGGGAAATTTCAACAGAGAATGAGAGGGAAAAAAAAGGTCTTTTCAATGAGGATACTCAGGTACTGTCACTGGTAGCTCAGAGTTGTGCGATCTCCGTCTCTGGAGTTTTTCAAAGCTTGGCTGATATAACTTGGAAGGGAAGTCTGCTTTGAGCAGAAGGTTGGACTAGGTGACCTCCAGAGGTCTTTTCCAAACTGAATTATTTTCTGATCCTATAGTTCATGCTTCATGCATAAAAACTGTTTGTGAAATTGGAAAAGGTGATTTTTTTGTTTTTTCTTTTTTCTGACTTTTATCTGTTTTGGGTTTGGATCACTTCATGGTCTTTATTCCTACAACAACACTTAAAAAATAGAAAAAATATCAGCTACTTCAGACTGTATCAATTTTTATAACATACATTTTCTTTATTTTATTAAAGAAATAGAACATTTAATTACAGAGCATACAGAAGGTTTCTGTAATGCCTTCCTGACCTTTTAGATATTTAATAACTACTATTTTTGCATAATACTCTCTAGAATAGTGCATCCACTTCTAAAACTAGTGTGGCAAGTGATACACTGCATAATTCTGATTGTAGAGGAGATTTTCACAGAATCACACAGAATCACAGACTGGTTGAGGTTGGAAGGGGCCTCTAGAGATCATCTAGTCTGACCCCTCTGCTCCAGCAGGGATACCTGGACACAATAGGAAGAGACAAAGGGAAGCCAACAATACATACCTATGTAGAGAGAATATCAATATATTTTCAATATCAGTCAATATATTTTGCACTGGTATATCCCTTGGACTAGAGAGTTTGATTACTTGTTTCTTTTGAAGGCATTACATCTCCCCTGCCAAAGCAGAAGCCACATTTGGGCCTTAAAAGCAGGTTGCTGGCTCTGGCAGCGGAGCCCAACATCTGCAGAGGGATGTGGTGGTGCCGCAGCTGAGGGAAACTGCACGTGCAATTCTGCAGAGCGCAGCCGCACACACTGCCGCGGGCCACGAGCTTACAGAACACGGAAAGACCTGGAATCTTTTGCGATGGGCACATATCATAGGGAAAAAATGCCACTTTTCTGTTTTCCTTTGGTAGATAACTTTACGGAATATAAAATTATTAATTTTGGATGTGATTGCTTTTACTAAATGTGAATATAATAATCTTGGGACTGACTGAAAATTAGTTTTTGCTGAATGCTGCATACCATGCTACTTTGAACCTTTGAGTTTCAAGTCAGTGACAGACAGAGAATATAAAGCCTCTAGAAGCAGCAACCATTCCCACTGAGTTGAAGGGCAATTTTCCTTAGCCATTTGATCTTTTAAGACTTTTGATGCTTAAAAAGTTCTGCTTCAATCTTGCAAATGTCAGATGTCCAAATGCTAGCATCTATGGTTTAATAAAAAAGCTCTGAATTTAGAATTGTGGGGTGTTTTTTTTCTATTTGAAAGAAAAAAGAAGTCTAATAATATATGGTTCAGGACCTTTTTGTATTTTATTTGAGTTTTTGTCAAAGCAAACATACACTAGCAGAGGCAGTTAGGTCTGGCCTAGGTAGAGCAAGGAATTCCAATGTACCATCTCAGCTGTTCCATCTATTCACATTTATTGATCATAATTGATATTCTGGCTTTTAACAGCAACATACGTCTAAAAAAATCATTGTACTATGTGAAAATAGAAGTAATCAGCTTATGGAACTAGAAGTGTATGACATAATTTAAAAGATTAATAAAAGAATAATGAAAAGTTGTCTATATATATAGAAATGAGTAAGGACCCCCAAAATATGTTTTTTTCCAACAATCATGACTGATACTGTTTTATGTCAAAATCATCCATTCCATTTATACTTTCTCATCGGCTTATTCCCATGGAGATATTTTTCTCAGAAATCTGTCTACACAAATGACTGGGTCATACGAATTCCTTAGCTATTACAGAATCAGGAAATTATCATCTTTTTTTCCTTTCTTTCTTTTTTTTTAAGGGAAACTTGGAAATTTGACGTTTAAAGGGTTTAGGAGTCTAAAAACCAAATAAAAAGGGTCTTGGATAAAATAGTGATTAAAAACTTATACTTTCAGACTGATCCTGTGGTCCTAGGAATTCTACTTAATCAATTATACAAAAATCATGTTGTTACTGCATATGAGGCTGAATGTAATTTTTTTCGCAGGATTGTGAGACAAATTTGAGGTGCCTTGAGTTTGAATTTTAAGGTTATTCTGGTATGTGGGCCTGTGCTGTACTCAAAAGGAAAGAGGGTTGATGTGAGGGGGTGAGTCAAAGGAAGGAAAGTAGTTGTGCCTAGAGGCACATTGCCCTGGTGAGC